CAGACAGTTGGCGACTTCCGCACACTGCGCACTTCAGCATGCGCTGACCCCGCTCTGTCTTTTTACGTGGCCTACCACTTCGTGGCTGAGTTGCTGCTGTTCCCAGTTGCTTCCACTTTGTTATAATACCACTAACATTTGACCGTGGAATATTTAGTACCAAGGAAATGTCACGGAACACCCGAATCCAATGATTTGGAGGGGTGTCCCAATACTTTTGGCAATATAGTGTGTATATATATAGATATAGATATATATATAGATATCTATATCTATATATATTGTACACACACACGTATACAGATAGATAGATAGATAGATAGATAAAAACACACATACCCACATACACAAATCTCATCATCCATTTACACATTCAGTCATGAGGACCGTACAATGACCTACTTCTTTTACTCTTTCTTCTATTTTCAGTCTTCTTCTTACTCTGCATTATTCATTTTTCATTCTGTCTCTATCTTTTATCTCCACAAGATCAAGGCTTAACGATTTTCTCTCTACCCTATTTTAACCAAATAAACATTGTGATGTCTAAGATGTTAACCTTTTTACTGAATAGGTTTGCCCTCATTTTGCATTTGACTGTAAATTCTACAGCCAGAATCAACCAATCATAAAGACTGCTTACGACTAAAAAAGTTATTTTTTTTGATAAGGAGATAAAAATGTGAATGTTAAATTAGACCTCTTGTATGTTGGAGCAAATTGTGTTGCAGGTGTAAGGCTCCATTCACACACAGTAGGAAAACCGTGCGGAACGAAACCGCGCAAACTTTAACATACGTGCGGATTTCGTACATTTGCGGCTATTGCTATAGCTGGAACGTGCGGAATCCACCCATAAAATCGTGCTTGTAATATTTTGCAGGACGCGTGGTTTGAAGTGTGAATGTTGCAGGGGTAAATCTGCAATAGATTCAAATACACCTTACTGTTAGATGAAATTGTTGCAAGATCTTCCATTTGTTGCATGGACAGAAGACAGATTTCTAATGGGCGTCTACAACAAGCTTAATGATTTCCAGGGCATGTGTTTTTATAGCAGTTAAGTTTAAAAATGATCAAACAATATAATAAAAAATAAAAGTCACCTGTTTGTGAGTCACTGATGCTGGCAGCGGCAATGTCCTGCTCTTCCAGGCTATCTGATAATAAGAACAAGAATCGTTAGGAATCATGTAATGGAAGAAGTAGATTAGCAACACTGAATGACATGCTGAAAGAGTCAATAATCAAAATATTTTTTGTGTTCTATCATTAGTCATTGATAATTAACAAATCGAGGTTGCTTTGAAAAGTTTTTTCCTTGACAGCAACCAGCATCACTCAGTAAGCTGGTCAGGTACAGCAGAAGCTACAGCCAAACATATTATACCCTTGACAAATCACTCAGAGCATACTGAATTGTAGTGCATAGCCTGAAAACCGTTGCTATGTCAATAGTAGCCACAGATACGCACTTCATTTCGCCAAATCCTGAAAGGTTTTTTTTTTTAACTAATTACAGCCCTAATTTGCATATTACTATGAGCTGCATATACACATTATAAATTATACTGTACAACATTTTCTATTCAATCTAGCTACTGCAAACTAAAATTGACTAAAACCAACACTCAGAATCAAATTTGTTGCAAAAAGGGAAAGAGATAATAATAATAATAACTGCAAAGATTTGTAAATATATGCCACAAAAACAATGTTTATTATACTGTTCCATTTATAGATTATCCCCTTCATATTTTGGAGAAACTATGGAAAAGTTTGAACGAGGGATGCACACATACCAAGCTCAGCAAAATGCCCCCCCTACAATCGGCACAAATAAAAACTCTGGTGTGTTTCTTTAGTGCTTGTGTTGTTTTGTGCCGTAACAATTAAAATTTGTGCTGCTTTAATTTTTAAGATAATAGCAATTGTTTTTTTTAAGGCGATGACATCACCCAACCCCCCTTTCGGTTTTTTTCGTTCAAGTTATTAACTATCTATTAAAGCAGTACAAATCAGCACAAACGTAACACTAAGGAAACACATTGGAGTTTTTATTTGTGCCGATTGTAGGAGTTCTGATACCAAGGTCTCATACTTGGTAAAAGTACAAGAAATTATACTTTCCAGCTCCAACATTAGACTAGAGGAAAACTCAAATGTTAGGAGGCAGCTGTCATTTTTAAGGCGCATACGGGGCTCCTGGGATTTGTACATCCCTGTTTTAAATGTATGATTTGATAGATAGATGTATGATTTGAGATTACATATAT